GAGTCAACACCATCGGAGCGAGCTAGACAATTGATTTATAATATTTTCAACACATCCATCCTTTTCTGTCGATTGATAAAGACTTTATTAGCATTATCCTCTTTCGATGTGGGATAGAATCGGTGTTTCTTAGCATCTTTTCCGCTGGCAAGTTATGATTACTAATCAGATAAACAAAATGTTTTTTTGAATAAATCTATATATACAAATATTTTCTCATGTGTTTATGAAAAATATTAAAAATCAAGGATACATAGATTAGGTTTTGTTTGGTAATCAGCGGTTAGCTGATTGCATTAGCTATCTTGACCAGCGGAGTGCGTTAGCTGTTTTGACCAGCTGATTGTGTTGGCGGTTTGTAAAACAATGTTTGGTAAAATTAGCTATTTTAATTAGCTGCTAACATGTAAAATTACTTATAAGGACATCAACATACTTGAAAATTATTTTTGTGCAGATATTTACTTATAAGGACATCAACATATTCGTTCTTATACCATACAATTTATTCTTTTTGTTCGGATACTAAATAAATTTCAATTTTATTTTAACAGAAGTAATATAATTTTCTTCTACCTTGTTCGAGCGTCCGTTCTACTTTTAAAATAGTTTGGTTTTACTCATTTTTTTTTTCGACAACGCATCTAACTCGTTCTTATACAATTGAATTATTTTTTATGGATACTAAATAAATTTCAGTTTATTGTAACGAAAATAATATACTTTTATTCTATCTTGTTCGACGATGTTTATTGTCATCCGTTGTACTTCAAAATAGAAAGGTTTTACTTTTTTTTTTCGACAATACATCCAACTCGTTCTTATACCATATATTTGAATTTTTTTTTTTTCAGATACTAAATTAATTTCAGTTTTATTTTAACGATAATAATATATTTTTACTTCTTCTTGTTCGACCAATGTTTGTTGGCGTCCGTTCTATTTCTATCTTATGCGAGAAATTTTTTTCGGAATATTAAATTAATAGCATTTTTATTTTTTACATGATATAGAGATAAAGACGGAATTCATCTTTTATTATTATTTTTTTTGTTCTCTTAGGGCATGACTTTCTTCAATTTTCATGAGAATAGATTTCTCAAAAAATAAAATGGAGGCATTGTTATTAAGGGAAAATACGAACTTTCTATTTTTATTTTATTTTATTTATTTATTTACTTTTATCTTAGGGGTGACATTTTTTAATTTTCATGAGAATGGATTTCTAAAAAAAAAAGGGAAAATGGAGGCATTTAAGGGCAAATGTGAACTTTTATTTTGTTCTCTTCAAAAGTCAATTGAAAACGCTGCAAGATGTAGCGATTAAATTTTTAGTTTTTTAGCACCAAAAAGTCAATTGCAAAAGTCATTTACCAAACAAAAATTTAGCTGTTTGAGAAAAGTCAAATCAGCTGAAATGTGAAAAAGTTAATTTTTTGGCAAAACGCCAATAACCAAACACTATATTGAATTTATGAGTTTCAATAACAAGTCCGTACTTGTTGATGGATCATACTAAAATAAACGTATGTGTCTGTGCAACTGCGATTATTTGTTTGAGAGGTTATTTGAATATAAACAAAAAACACTTGAAATTTATATGAATATGCATATAATTTTGAAATCAAAAAAACCAATTGATGTTTTATATATAAGAAAAAAAAAATGAAATGAATTAAATTTTGGATTTGAAGTGTTTTATGCAAATACAAAAATATATTTTAATTAGAGATGTTTTGTTATTGTTTCTGCGTATTCATTTTAGTTGTAGAGTTAGCTCCATCACAATTATGTAGACAACTGATTATATTACATATGTTGAACTATTTTATAATAAAGATTATATATACAATCACTCCATTTATTTTTAAATAAAATGGAGAAATGTATATATATATAAATCATTATTGAAAATATCTACAAATATTTTGTACGCCTCCTCTCTTATGTAGATTGTAGAAGGTTGATATATGGTGAAGTAAACAACTCCTTATAGTTCCATATTAACTCACAGTCAGACAGATTTCATGAGCTCATAATACGTATATATTGATTCGATAAAACTATGAAATTTATTGACAAATAAAGGAACATGAGTAGATTATATTTTTCTTAAAATAATATTAATAATTTAAAATAAGTAAATAGTGGAGTATAATGAACAAGATGTATAAGATTTATTTTTTCCTTATAATGAAAAGTAAATAAACATAGATATTAAATTTTATTAATAAAAGCGTACTAATGAACTAACTAGTCTAATGAATTAAGAATATTGTCTAAATGGCCAAAGGTGTTATCTGGCANAAAAAAAAAAAAAAAAAAGAAAACGTGGACGGCAGGATTCGAACCTGCGCGGGCAAAGCCCACATGATTTCTAGTCATGCCCGATAACCACTCCGGCACGTCCACCAGGTGGTTGTCAGCTCTCAACTTTATTATACTAAAGGTAATTATCTAAAATGTGTATACGCAATACCGAACAATTTTTTTTTCTATGATTTAAAGAAGGATCAATAGTAATATCGCTCCCATTCTCGGTGACTCAAGCCCATAACCTATCGGTTATACGTGAAGCGTCTTACCACTAAGCTGCAGTTTGTTATCTAATATCAGACAATTTAACACATATCGATTTGTTGATTTTAACGAAATCCTTATAAATTTTATATCTAAAGTTAAAGGTGGGATTTGGTATATGTAATTTATGTTTGAAATCTGAGTAAATCTTAAAAAGTTTAACAAATCTCAATGTTAAATAAGTTAGATACATCAGAATTTGTTGTATCTCATGACTTTTAAAAGTCTTAAAAAGTCGAGTTAATTGCAAATTTAGTCCCGTTAGATTGGGACGTTCGCAATTTTAGTCCCAAGAGGCGCAATTTCAGTCCTTAACTAATTTTTGTTGCTCAATTGGTCCCAAATCTAACTGACCGTTAAGTCACCGTTAACTCTAAGGACTAAAATTGCAATTGTGGGACTAAATTTACAATTTTCTCATAGTTGATATATATAAAATAACTTTTCATTTTTACTTTTATTTTTTATAATTTTATTCACCTCTAGAGTTATAATTTTATTTTTTATCAACCACTATAATCATAATAAAATTAAATGATGAATTTTTAAATATATTTATTATTTAATTAAAAATATTTGAAATATAGAAAACATTGTATTGCAATTAAAATTTTTAATATATTAATAATGATATAAATTTAATTTTATTTGAATTTATATATATCAAATATATTTAAATTTATATTTTTTATATTAAAACATATATAAATATTTTTGTTATATATCAAATATGAATTTAAAAAATATGAATTAATAAAAAATATTTTTGTCATATATCAAATATGAATTTAAGTTTATATTTGTGTTATATTAAAAATATATATAAATATGAATTTAAAAGTTATATCAAATAATAAAATTGGCCAGTCCGATCAACCAATTTAAAATTATATATCAAATATATCAAAAATAAAAATATATAAATATGAATTTAAAATTATATATCAAATAAACACCCACACACACACCCACACACACACACATATATATACAATTGACCAATCTGATCAACCAATTCTGACTGGTTCATTGAAAACCAGTTCTTTCAAATGAATCCAATCATTTGACCGATTCTAAAAATTAAAAATAATAGTAGTTGATTTTATTTTTATTTTTATTTTACGTTTTAAATTTTTATTAACCTCTAAAATTATATTTTTATTTTTTATCATCCAATATAATTATAATAATATTAAATAATTATTTTTGTAAATATATTTATTATTTAATTAAAAATATTTTAAATACATAAAACATAATAATATAAATTCAATATATTTGAATTTATATATATCAAAAATATTTAAACTTATATTTTTGTTATATTAAAAGATATAAATATTTATTAACTTATTTAAATATATATATTATTGACCAGTCAATTCAACTAACTTTAATCGGTTCATTGGAACCAATCCATTTAAAGGAATCAAACCGTTTAGTTGACCAATTATCGATTCAACAACAAGTTTTGGCCGAGCTTTCAACCAATAGTAGTTGGTATTACTTTTATTTTTATTTTTATTTATAAATTTTATTAACCTCTAGAATTCTATATTTCTAATAAAATTAAATAATTATTATTTTTTAAATATATATATTATTTAATAAAAATTAATTTTAAATATGGAAAACATTGTATAGCAATTATTATTTTTTGTCTCAAAACAAAAATTTTTACTATCAAATATTGTTATATACTCACGGAATAAAAATTGCAACAAAAATTAGTAATAAAATTATTTTTTTTTATATTTGGGACTAAATTTCCAACAAAACCAATCTTATGGGACTATATTTGCAATTTTTTCAATATTTGTGACTAATGACAAACGGTGACTTAACGTTCAGTTAGATTTGGGACCAATTTCGCAACAAAAATTAGTTAAGGACTGCAATTGCGGACGTCCCAATTTAACGGGACCAAATTTGCAATTAACTCTAAAAAGTCTAAGTTAAACGTACTAGAGTTTTAAACTCTCAAAAGGTTTATAAAAATTCCAAAAAATACACCCCTAAATGTTATGCCTATTCTAANTTTAAATATTATAATAATAATAATAATAATAATAATAATAATAATAATAATAATAATAATAATAATTGATAGGCTGAAACCTTAAAACTCCATCTTTGTTTGTTGGCTAAAAACTTGTTTCAACTCGGTTCATCAAAATTTTCAAATGAGTTTGAACCTCAATTACATTTGATAAATTCAAAAACTCCTGACTCGAGATCGAGCTCCGACAAGTCAATACATAAAATGATTTGGTGGGTATATTCACTTACGACCAGATCAACTTAAACTCGTTTGAGCTTGACTTAGGAATCAAAACAACCTCAAACTGATGTACCAAACTTATCTTTCATTAGGAAGTTAATGCATTAGGAGACTAAGAAATACCCAAATCAAAACCATTTCAAATTCCTCGTCTAATGAACAACCACAAACTAATTACTAATACAATCATGTTTTTCGAATTTGTCCAATTTTTCGCGTCCGATTTTATGTGGTTCCAACATTTAGGGATTCCGATCATTGGCAATTGGCTGCTATTGAGAACCGAACCACCGTCAACAACGCCGGAATTCAAATTCTCACTAACTTCCGGCGGCAAAGGCACAAACTCCTGATCGTCAATTGCTGATTCCGGCGGCTTGAGCGCCGGAAAAACCGGACTGGCTGGCGGCAGTGCCATTGCCGCCCGTTTTGGATCTGAAACATTCAAATGGACCGAGTTAGGTCCAAATGAAATAAATGGTAAACTATAGTCTATAAATCATTTTCTGAATTAAATTAAAACAGTTCTCTTTCTTAGTTGCCTATATATGCACTTGAGGTGAGATATTAGCTTACATTCCCTTCTCTTGATTAATTCTGTTTTTATTTACAAATGTCATTTTTTTTTTTCCCCAATAGGGTGCAGAATTAAGAGGAGAGCTGTAATTCCAAACAATAATTTGATTTAAGTAAATGTTAGTTATATATAAAATTTACTACTAAACTAGGTACGAGAAAATTTTTCAGTAGTTAATAAGTGTAATTAACATCTTGATTGTTATATAACATTTTTTTTNATTAGCTATGAATCAGGTACACATTTAGTCGTAAATCACACACGAAAAAATAAACTCGAGAAAGAGATTTTTTTTTACAAATTAAAAAAAAAAAGTTGGGGAAAATTTTTTTGGCGAAATGCTCGGTTTGTCTTACCATGGCAATGAGTCAAAGGTGGCACTGCAATGTAGCAATTAGAGAAGGATATTTGAAGCTCAGCGCTAAACACGGGATAGCTCGATGAAGGGCCAAGTAATGTGCAAAGACAATAATACCCTGCCTCGAGCACTTGGTTAAGAGTCGTGCAGCAAGAGCCGATTGAAAATGGAGTTCTTTGAGTACTCGGGACCAAGCAATTTTGATGGTCGATGCCCATAAGGGAACATCCTAAGACTTGGGAATTTACGGATAACAATGTTGGTGATGTGGACACAAGAATGAGAACAACTGCGGTAGAAATCGACGGTCGTGAATATTGTATTGCCATTTAATTTTGTTTTTCTTTGGAAATAAGCTTTTGGAGGTGATGTAATGTGAATAGGGAAGGTTGAGTTTGGAGTTTATAAACATATGTAAGTAATGACATTTGTTTTGTGTGTGTGTGTGTGTTTTAGGGTGGTTTTTTGCATGCTTTTGACCTACTAGGCTCATTGATCTCTTTCCTTATGACTTGAAATGAATTAGGATTTTTTTTTTTTTTAATCCTACTAAGGTCCACCATAGTCAAATTCATGAAGTTGTTGTTGTTGAAGTAGGTGACCTATCTAAACTAGTAATTTTAATTACTCTCATATGATGATCATTGTGCTTAATTAATTAGTTAAAAAAACTCTAACTTTTAACACATTTTAATCCTACTAAGGTCCAAAGTCAAATTCATGATCTTTTAACAACACATCCTTGTAGAGTAATGCCACTCAATTATATCAAACACACACCTAACAAAATAAAAATCCATCCAATCCCAAAGAATATTTTATACAAACATGATCAAAAACCTAGAAATTACAAGTGTGTTTATGTATAAATCATGTGATGAGGAGAATGATTCCCAACAATAGTGCCATAAGAGAAGATGCCAAAGTCTTATCGTGAGACAAACGTGCAGTCGATGGGGTCAAAGTCGGCCGCATTCCTGGCGGCGTTAGGGTCGGAATCACGTCACCACCTTCCGGCACTAACGATGGTGGCGTTAAGGGCTGTGGATTAAATGTACCTGCATTTTTATTTTATTTTTATTTTTCAAAGGAAAAACAAAAGATATATGTTATGTTTCTCGAGTTAATGTCAATAGTTAAGCTGAGTTCACAATTTTTTTTTTTTTTTGTAGTCTTTTCCGTCAATTCTGACTATGAAAAAATCGATTTTCCGACAAAATGCGTTGTAATTAGAGGGTCAAAATTACAATTTATAGAGCTAAAAATTTTTACTCGAAAAATTTTGTATACCTGTGGGATTTGGTGGTGATAACCCGGGAATTGTATTTGGTCCACCTTGGCCAGGGGTTCCTGTATCCACCAAACCCACGAAAAACATTAGAAATCGATCAAAGTCTTGTACGTAACTAACTTATCGATCTATAGAAGCTAAAGAATTTTGTCGAAAAAATGTTTGATTTGTTCGAAGCTGTGTAAGTGTACCTGGAGTCGGAACAGGGCTGGCAGTTGCTGCATTTTGGGTTCACAATTCATGAAACAAACTCACATTAGTAAAGTTTTTTAAAAAAAAATCAAGTTAACACACGACTAGCAATATCGTGCGATAATTTTCCCGAAAAAAAAATAAAAAAATCAAGATTCGATTAATCAAGAAAATGTTACCTTTGCACTCAATGGGCACACCGGACATTCTACAAGCCCTTGGAAGGGAGATTGCCAAGTTTCGGTTAAGGGGGACTTGAAAAGGGACGCCTCCCGTTACAATAAGGCACAAACAATCTTGTCCGTTGCTCGTGAGATCTCTGAGTGAGTTGCAACAATCGGGACTCGGTCTCGATAAATTCGAGCCGCTTGCAAGGAAAGCTACGCACGGGCCAAAGTTACTAATCATGGGCCCGGTGCATGCGGAGCTCGACTGGCCGATTGTCGGTCGAGCAGCCATAACTATCACAACCAATGTTGCAACTAGAGATGGTGTAATGAATGGTGTGGGAGGGAAATTTCTTGAGTTTTTTCCCATTTGATTTTTTTTTTTTTTTTCAAATAATAATCTTTTGTGAGGTTTCGAAGGAGGATATGATGGGAGTAGAAATGAAGGGATTTATTTATACTGGCTTGAAGTTTGATTGGGTTTTGTGGCTCAACTAACTTAACTAACTTTGTGTATGTCAAGATTTAACTATTTAATTAGGTGACCTTGCAATTATGCTTGTGTAAGTACGTGGTTGGATTTTGTTGTAGTTAATAACAAGTTCTAGAAATTGAAGTTAAAAAATTATTTAAATACAGGATAATTGATTAAACCTAATTATCTAAAAGAAATCAATAAATGGAATTTTGTGACTAAAATGTATTCTCAATGTGAGATAATTAAAAAACATTGAAAATTGTCGGACACCAATTGCCACATGCACAAATTATTGTCCCAAGTACCATCAACTATATATATTTTTTTTTTTAAATTTGCAGAACAATAATTTTNTATATATATATATATATATTTTTTTTTTTTTAAATATTAAAACAATTAAATATTGATTCAACCAATTTCATTGACCTAGTAGCTTAACCAATTCAAATGACATTTATCCTTGCCATTTATCCAGCATCCAGAGGTCAATTTAGTCATTTGACAAGTTCATCCTTCTAAAATTGGATCAGATAAAACTCTCATAACCAACGGAAAGAGGTTCACGAACTTGTGGGGAGCTCAGCCTCAGTTTCTCACTAATGGCGACGAAGACGCCATCGCCAACTTCTTTCCCAAAACTGTCCTCCACAAATTCCTCCTTCTCCTTGCTACCGTTATCTCCTTATCTCCGCCATATACGCCGGAAACTGCCCTTAACCTCCTACTCCGTCCGCTGTCGGCCGCCGCGCTGGAAACAGCCGCGTGCGCCGGAGTTCGACCGGCCTGGCTCGGAGACCACTCCGTCCGCCTCCCTCTTCCAGGACTCCGATTTCGAGCCCTTGTTGGATTCCACATATAGTAAGTCATGTTTCGTTGTTTTACTTAAATATGTCCTGGTTGCTGCTGTTGTTGTTGTTGTTTTTTTTTTTTTTTTTTTTTTTTTTGTTTAAGATGCCCATCATTCACATCCAAAATCCAAAGCAGAAGAATATTGGTAATGACAAAGGTAGTAGATTTACTATATTATTGGTTCCAAATTTTTTTTTTTTTGCTTTTAATATGACATTTCCGTTTAAAAGTATGTATATCTGTTGAAAGAATATGGTTATCTAACCATTAGGTTTAGTTATAGCCTTACTGATGGAGAGCAGATGTACAGAGTAAAAGGAGTTTATCTATCGTTTCTACATTCTCCTTTAGCTTTTGCAGATGACAATATGCCATTATTTGCTATATATGTTTTTGAGAACATTGGTTTGTGATTCATGTTACAAGCAAATTATTCTTTTTTACTAGCTGTTATATAGGGAACACAATAATGTATACATTAGTTTTTTTGCTAAAGTTATAACAATATTCTATCACATGTAATGTTTTGTCTTTTGCTTCTATTCTTGGCTGTATAAAACTTCTGTTATTTCATTTGAGCTGCAGGAGAAGGGTATGTGACTACGAACACTGTGGATAAAGATATTGCGTCATCTGATAAAGCTTCCACAAGCGATAAGAAATATTTCAGCAACTCATTGAGATTGTTTGGAGTTGACTTAACCGCTGATAATATTGCGGTTGCTATGGTATATTTTGTGCAAGGTGTTTTAGGTCTCTCCAGGCTTGCAGTCAATTTCTACCTGAAAGATGACCTGCATTTAGACCCTGCAGAGGTATCCGTATTTGTATAGTTCAGCACAAGTGACGTGTAGACGTTCTATTAATCTAGTGACAATGTTGATTTTTTGTCACAAAATAAATAATCAGTGACATTGTGTCTGAAATTGGACTGTACTTTTCCTCGAAATTTGTATCTTGAGCCAACTGTTTATTCATTATGAACTATGGGAATGAATAATTAAACTGTTAATATGAATTTTTAGTATCTATCAATGCACTCTTGGACTATATTTCATTCTCTATTCGCTTCTTTGTTTGTAAAAAATTGGGATTTTTATTTAACTTATATATGATCCTCAAGTTTCATTCTATACTTTTGTAAGAAGTTATATGTACTCTACACGTTCTTCTAGAAAATATGCTAACTACTTGCATTTCTATTCTATATGGTTGACTAGACAGCTGTCATATCTGGTGTTTCATCTCTTCCTTGGCTCGTCAAGCCCCTGTATGGATTTATCAGGTGGGAATGAAATCATCTTACCCTAATTGTCTATGCCTCCTTTTCATTTCACTGTGAACAATATCCTAAATTTGGCTATGAATGTTTTCACAGTGACTCCTTCCCGCTGTTTGGCTACCGAAGAAGTTCTTATTTGGTTATATCGGGACTTCTAGGAGCTCTCTCATGGAGTTTGATGGCTACCTTTGTTGATAGCAAGTATGGTGTTATGTTCTGCATACTTCTTGGATCCCTTTCTGTAGCATTTTCAGATGTTGTAAGTCAGTATTATTTTGATTTATGCTGTTGTAGTGGGATCATGCTTTATGCATTCTATAATATCTACGGTGTTTCCAAAGATAACAAATTAATATTTTTGGGATATGAGTATCGTAAACGATGTCTCAAAGGCAATTTGGTCATATTGAAGAATATGGGAAGCTGTATGTGGATTTTCTGTAGTCACTATTTTGTTGAGTTAGTGTGAAGTTTAATTCTATGCATTTTAAGATACATTTGTTCTACGAAAAGGGCCTGTTGAGTGTCCTCGCCCTTAAACTTATTAAATGGACGTGATCTCTTGTGATTGCTAGTTTGAAATCATTCTTAGCATTTACTACATTTCATCCATTTCTTATCATTTTTGTCTTTTATATGCTAGCATGGAGTTGGAGATTCATTGATCTGAGGTGTAAAATCACCAAGAATTAGTCACATATGAGAAAATCTTGACAGACATATTTGTTTGTTGTAAAACAATGTTCTATGAGTAATGTTGAGCATATGAAGATGGACATGGTAGTCAATTATCGCCTGTTCAACTTGGGCTGCCACAATCATTCTGGGTCCAGCTATTAAAATTTATATTTTTTTATTTGCTTGAGACATTGTTGGAAGAGTCATTGTTGACAATTCTCCTGGCATAGTGCTAATAATGAACTAGATCAAAATGGCTCAATTAACTTCTAGTGCTTCTTCTATTAGTGAAGTTTCTAGAAAAAAAAAATATATCAAACGGCACAATGCACCTTGGGTCGCTACGGAAACAGCCTCCTTGTATAATTACAAGGGTAAGGTCTGCGTACAACTGGCCCCCCAGACCCCAACCTGTTGGGAATATACTGGGTTTGTTGTTATTTGCTTGAGACAATCATCTTAGATCTTTTCATAAATTCTTGAAATTATTGAAATATAAGTGGTAGCTAGTCATTGTTTGTCATATAATTATTAAAATTCATATTTTGTTATTGTAATGCAGGTTGTGGACTCTATGGTTGTAGAGAGGGCTCGTGGAGAATCACAAAGCATGTCCGGATCACTCCAGTCTCTATGCTGGGGTTCGTCAGCTTTTGGGGGCATTATAAGTTCCTACTTTAGTGGCTCCTTAGTGGGTGCTTATGGTGTGAGGTGTGCCACTCGGTCGATACTTTCAATGCAGCTCTTTTTTTTTTATTAGGAATAATTATAGAAAGTACCCATGAGGTTTGAACTCATCATACAGAAACCCATCTAAGTGCTTAATTATATATATGTTATGTTATTCTTATGATTTTTTGGTTGAATTTGAAAAGTTGATATGAATTTTCGAACATCCGCAGGTTTGTATTTGGATTAACAGCTTTGCTGCCGCTGATAACATCTGGAGTTGCTGTGCTTGTGAAAGAGCAGCCAGTATTTAGCTCTGCAAGAACACACAATCTTTTCTCTGGCACTGCTGAATTTCTTGGAAGCTCAAAAAAGAGCATTACACAATTATGGGAAGCCGTAAAGAAGCCTCATGTATTCCTCCCGACCTTATTTATTTTCTTATGGCAAGCAACACCACAGTCCGACTCAGCCATGTTTTATTTCACGTATGATGTTATTTAAGGCTTAATTTTTGTAATTAAGCCATTATATAACTGCGAATATTGTTTTTCTGTTGAGATGACTGCTGAAGAGGACTTTGTGTTTACAGTACGAATGAACTCGGTTTTACTCCCGAATTTCTGGGGCGCGTGAATCTCATCACTTCTGTTGCATCATTAGCTGGTGTTGGGCTTTACAATGGCTTCTTGAAAACTGTCCCTTTGCGGAAGATATTTCTCGTGACTACCATTGTCAGTTCAGCTCTAGGAATGACCCAAGTTAGCATTCTTTTCTTGCCTCCTTCAAATACTAGATCATTCCGGAACATCTAAAATTATGTGCCTTGTGAAGGTTTTACTCGTCACTGGATTGAACCGGCAGCTTGGCATAAGTGACGAGTGGTTTGCCATTGGCGACTCATTAGTTATAACAGTTCTTGGTCAGGTACTCCTCTGCTTCCTTTGAATAGATTGATTTATTTATTTATTTATTTATTTTGTGAAAACAAATTTCATTTTTCAGGTATCATTCATGCCTGTCCTTGTATTAGCTGCAAAAATATGCCCAGAAGGCATGGAAGCTACTCTTTTCGCGACCCTCATGTCCATATCAAATGGGGGCAGTGTTCTTGGAGGTTTAATGGGGGCAGGATTGACTCAGCTGTTTGGCGTCACCAAGGACGAATTCGTCAATTTGACTTGTCTGATTGTTGTTTGCAATCTCAGCTCATTGTTGCCTTTGCCTTTGCTCGGACTCCTACCACAGGAGATATCTTATGTCGATTCTGAAGAGAGTGGTGATACTGAAATGAAATCGAGCTGATTCTAAAAACTGCACGTTGTGTATAATGTGTTAGGAGTAGTAATTAGGTCAAGATACTTTGGTTTGTAAGTTGAATGATTGATGCGTATTACACCAAATTAACCGGACCACAAACGTACGAACCAACATTAGAATACCTGCAAAAGCATCTGTCGATCAAGTCAGAAAGTGTGTAAATTGCAAAAATTACTCTATGGCTGCACATATAGTAGAATAATTCAAGATTAAGGTTTGGTAGACCTAGTAGAAGGTATTTATAAACAAAGGCTTAACCGTTTTAACATTTCAAGATTAGGTTGTATTCTACCTATTAGAATGTATTTATAAATAAATGCTTGCCTTGTTTTTACAAGTTATGAAATGTACTCCATTCTGCAAAACCCATTGGAGTCATTTATATGGAAAGAGAATATGGTTTTTTCTAAGGCCTCATTTGTTTAAGGAGAAGTGAATGGACTAAATTAATATATTGTGGAGGGATTATATAATGTTGATTAAACTAAACTCATATTTATAATTCAAGAATAGACTTCTCACATTTGTCCATCCTGATAAGTCATGAGGATACAAATGTGAATATACTATTTTGCCGTCATCACATGTTTTTTTTTTNAAGAAGCAAATCGCTTAAAGTCTTAGACTATTACATAACGTGGATATGCAATCCCAATACGGTCATGCTCGAATTACGACATAACCCCATATGATGGTTCATCTAAGTAATGGAGACCTCCAAGACTCGTGCTAATGATGCCAAATAATATGTTGCGAAATTGGACTCTCTGCAGTCATGTACCAACTCTACATCTCAGTTCAGTCCAATCAGCTCACAAATTCCCCGCAATAAGCTACAATGCATACCACCATCAACTTGTTGCTTGTGTACAAGTTGAATAGCCGTCTGACTATCCACTGATGCCAGTATTTTCCTGTATCCATGATATCAAGCTAGAAACAGCCTTTGGAAGAGACCCCATAATTCTGCGCCAATGATTTTCTCAAATTCAATGTTTATAATAAAACCACCAAACCAATCCTCATTAGGATCACGAATTAAACATCCAGCACTGGCCATACCTGTGTCACCATTAAACGCCCCATCCTAGTTAATTTTAATCCAACCATTCGGTGGAGATAACCATCTGATTAATTTAAATTCATGTCTATGCCCAATACTACCTAATCTTTTTTCAAAACTGATTGCAGATTGAATATTTGACACATGCAAATTAACTTCTNNNCCCCACATCGAAGTCTTTAGCCGACAAAACTTTCTCATTTTGTCCCTTCCAGATTCTCCACAAAGATACTCCAAAAAAACATTCCCAATTGCTAGACAATTCATTCAGAGGTGTACATAAATTCTGAGCTAATCAACTCTTCAAATAATCTAACGAGAAAAACAAGCACTAGTAGTAAATTTTGCCATATCGCAGCAGCATGATGACAATCACGTAATGCATGTATCCAGTCTCATTCGTTAGCCCACAGAACTCACATCTTGGCTAAGACGCCATGTGCCGACAATATCTCTCGGCATTCGTTAACAACTTGTTTTGAGCTACCAGAAATTGCGGATTCTTTGAGGGCCAACTCAACACCAAATTTTCTGCCAAAACTTCACATCATGTAACACAGTAGGTTGAGATAAGGACTGATAAGCAGATTTAACCGTGAAATCTTCTTCAAAAAAGACCCTAGTATAAAATATATGCTCCATTTTCTACTCTCGGCGGCAAGCAAACAACAACTCGAAGGATAGCTGTTGGGAAACAATGAGGAAAACAGATTCCATCGCTACGCCTATTGTAACATCAACAAGCGTGATAGAATTGCGTAACCACTTGTCCAACCAAAACCATGCTGACATTCCATCACCGATCGACCAACGAACCCCCTTGCAAATATCCTACCACACTCTACTCAGAGCTTTTAGTAATGAAGAACCCAAACAAAATTCAACGTCATACGGTATAACAACGACATCAAGTAGTTACTTTGCTCTAAAAACTTGAACCCAAAGCTTATCTTGATTTGCAAGCAATTCTCATCCGAGTTTCATAATCATGGCCTGATTCATTTGGAGTTAACTTTGAAAACCCAACCCCCAGCTTCCTTCGGCGAACATATAGTATTCCACCCCACTAAGGTGGTCTCGGCACGAGCTTTCATGATCTAGATAACTCGAACGAGCCATTAGGCTACTTGTCATGCCACATTATTACATCAAGTGATCTTGAATATATTGAAACGATAGTATTTTTATTAAAAGTTATATAATAATAATTATACCCATAAGACTTATGTCAGCTTTTTGTCTGAATACAAACA